CAACACCATATTCATATCCGCTCTCACGGTAAAACAACACACGAAGCACTCACCCTGCTGAGTACAGGCTCCGAGCAACTGGATCACGTGAGGGTGTGAATTTAATAGCTTCATGGTCTCCAATTCACGAATCAGATCCATCAAGTCTTCTGTAGTATAATTGTCTGGGAAACGAAACAAACAAGAGACAAATATTGTGTGGAGACGCATATAAACTGTACCAGCAATGAAAGAAGACAACTTGAATAAAATGGCGACAGATGGACAGGCATACGTACGGGCTACAACGCAACAGTCGATATTTACGTAGCTCAGTGCGAGTGCGATGGGGCGAGCAGGCCAGAAAAACTGAGATAAACCGTTGTCTGTTTGAACGTTTTGATGGAAAAATCAATGTGACGCTGGACGTGCATTATCCATGCATGACAATCGCCTACCGCAATGCGCCGCTTTTGCATTTGCCGCTGCAGGTAGAAGGAAATTCTGTGAAGATTAACAGGTGAGACAAATAGTTCGGGGTTGACTGTACAATACTTCCCGAAGTTTTATTCCACGACCCTCGGAGCCGGGAGCATCTTTGACATGGTATAGCGTTAGATGCATTTTCCAGTGTTATGATGATCTTCAACTTCAACGAATGATTTGCTCTAGTTGTTGCCGGGGTTTTAGCTGCTTGTTTGGATGAAGTATAAGAGAAAAGAACTAAAACGTTGGGAGTAGTGCAAAGGCAAAGATAGAGATTCACGTAGACCAGGGTTCACACAAACTGAGTACATCTCACAGTGTTCCAGTTCACGAGGTTCGATCAGTCACTCCGTATCTCTGATCATCAACACAGCTGATCCCCATCCAGGAAGTTTAGGGCGCGATAGACATGCTCCCGGTCCCCTAGTCATTGTTTTCATACCCTGAGGCCAGCTTCTAGTATGACCTTTGACCTTTTTCAACCACCATCTGCGGGAGAACATCGCACGACGAAATATAATCTATGCAGGTTGAGCAATCGACCCAGAGATTGTCTAAAACACTGAGCCTAAGATCGGTAGGACTTCTTCGGTTACTCCGCTAGATTCGTGCCAAACGGCGTGAATAGCATTGGAAGTGGCCGAATGTCGAGCCCACTCTCGTTCGATTACATTAATGGTAAAATCTCTGGATCGGATAACACGATTGGCTGAAATGCTACAGCATACTCTCGACCTTGCACGGATAACATAAGATCGCGGCGGCAACAGAGGTGTTTCAATTTGGCAGATGCCAAACCAACCTTTTGCATGTTTTCCAACACTTCATTCGCGATGCGCCCACCAGACAAGATGTAGCTGCTCAAACAGTAAAATCTGTCTACATTCTCTATTACGGCTGGGTTGAAAACTGGACCAACCTAATCCTGTCACATTTCACTAAAACATCGTACGAAGGGTATGGTTGATTTAAATGAAACTAAAGCATTCACAAATAGCTAAAGCACATCTGTTGAGCAATGCAAAACTAGCTCCGAGCAACTTAAGGATAACACCTTAAAAACCAGCTCAGACCCTTGTGACATGCTAGGGCAAGCGGGATTCGTTTTACCCCAGATTAGTCGTCATAGATCATGCAGAATGACAAAGACATTTTTAATCGCAGATTCAGGAAATAAAAGTTAATGCGAGCTGCGATGCAGATATCAAACAAGAAGTGCACAGTCGGTAATCGGACACGCTGACGTCAGACTACAAACTATTAGGGACCTTTTCAACGAATGCTCATTATGAGACCTCTCGATGACCAGCACTTTGTGAGTTTGAAGTACTAGCTATTGTCCCATTGTTATTGAATTATACCGCTACTCCAACTGCTACACTGAAACATAGAATAACTTGGATAAATCGTAATTACCATATGAAACACCACTGAAAAACAGACCCACAGTGTCACTACCATCATTACTAAAAATCGCTGCTGCAGTCTATGTACATTGAGCCAACGGGTGTTTCATTATGGGTGGTTAAGTCAGGCAGACCAGAAACACTAACGTACATCAGAAAATAAGAAAAAACACCACCTGGACAACAAAAGACGTGAAAATTTATGCCGGAGAATATAGTCATGGTCCTCTGTATGTTGATCAATCCATCCAAATATGACCTTAACGAAATGCGGCTGCAATGGTTTCCGCGCCATGCAAAGATGAGACCCCATTGCTAGCGCGTTGGCTCGGTCACGTCTCTATCGTGTCGGGTCGATGAGTCAATCCCTAGCCTGTTAATCCCAAGCCTTAAACGTACTGATCCAGAATTTAACTCAAAAGCCACGTTGGTGAACAAGAAAGACTGAAGGAACCGCCTTTTCAAAAGCCAAGGTGCAGACGGAATACCCGTTTGAGGCGTGTGGTTGGCCTAGCAACCGGACCCACCTATGCATGTGTGTAGGGTGCCATGGTTCAAATGCTGAGGTGTCAGTATCCGAGACACGTAATGCTGCGTGTGAGTCACGATGATGCTCAGCCACCGTCAGTACAAGGTGGTTTGCATGTATCTCCGTCCCGTAATAAGGATACAGGGTGATCAGAAAGAGGCCAACATATGGGGCTCGTGATGGATACGTGCATGGGTGCTGAATTTAGACAAGACCTACATCAGTATTTGCAACGGTATCACATATGATGAAAACTGCTTGATAAACCTAACCTCCAGAAGGATTAATAAAGTTATCGATTGTTAGTTCCATTCACTAGAACTATGGTACTTATTCACCTTTTGATCTCAATATAACAGTGTAGTTGCACACCAATATAAATTTCGAAGGGGAAAAGACTAGTCCCGTAGAGAGAGACCACTTAGACAGACGCAAGTAATCCCGGATTGAGGAATCGGAGAGAAAACCCAGTATTCTGCGATGCGTGGTGATCACATTCAGCTACAAGAGCTGATGTAACAGATGATGCTCCCCCTTGGAAGGACAAAATCATCTCAGTCGCTTGATTAGATGAAACTTGTGCATTCCTGAACGTGTCGGATGGACTTTACGAGGAGAAATGTTCGAAGTTTCTACATTAACTGATGATCGATAAACTTACTCCAGATGGGCGCGGCTAAAATTACCTCTGGCCCACTCCATAACTGAACAACTTGTGGTTTATATTTGAGTTCACAAAATGCTCACGAAAAGGGATGAACCTTCCAACCTTAGCAAGTTGACGGACAGTGTGTCATCTTCCACAACCCATCAGGCTGCTAGCTTATTTGTACGCGCCCGCGCCCGACTATGAAACTGGTAACGGACCGAACGTGCAAGGTTCTGCGGTAAATCGTCACGGGCAGGTTTCAGAGAGATGTGGAATTATCAAACCAGAAGGAACTTGCTTGCTTCAGAACATCCATATCAACTAAAGATTTGAATTGCTGTGAAATGTATTTCATTTCAACTCGGATTGGATTGATTGTAACACAACCTGGACACATTGGTGATACTGGAGCAGTCAACCGATCACCTCGTAATTGTGCGTGGAACCCAGCGCCATTGTTCAACATTCCGATTTATTGATATATCGCCTTTAACTAGCCGCGTCTCCTTCATTGTATTGTTGTACATTAATTTTATACCACAGAAGTGAGGCATGACTAATGAAGTCACTCTCGGTTGGACATGGACACATGTGTTAAAGGGATGAGGTCTGATAATCTAAGATTTCCCCGTAGTCCCACCACCACCACCACCAATGGCAACCCGGCTGATTTTTTTGTAGAGTGAACAAAACGTACATCACAATCTTCGGCATTTGAAGACTAACTTCAGGTGGGACAGGCGATGTACCAGAACAAAGTCCATATGGCGGATATCACATTGCGAGTCACTGGCACAAATGTCAATAATTCATAGGATCTGCTGGCGGATTTGCGTTCTCTGAGATAGTATCTTATAGTTTGCATCAGCTCCAGAAGCAGTGACCAAGCAAACAACACAGGCGGTTAGTCTCCGGCGGTTACAGCACAGAACTGTCATTCACCAACTAGACCGGTTTGCCGTGGCATTGCCATTTCACGAGTAGGAAACTTGATAGTCTTTTCATGACGCACTCCATAAATACTGGTAAACCACCCATCCATTAGTCTGATTCCTAATTAAGGTTAATTAAAGTAAACTGACCGTGCACAGATGACAGTACAAGACTCACCTTTCATTGTTTTGATAGCCACTTTATGCACCACATTGGTCGAATTCGAGCACGGTGCAGGTGAACATGGACGCCCGGGTAGACGACCGCGTACGACACCACGATAGACCACACCAAAGTTGCCCTGTCCCAACAGCTGGTCAATTTCGATTCGGGCTCGAGGCACCTCCCACCGCGGGTCGGATTGAACAAACCGCGTGGCTGGTCGAAACACACGAGATGGCTTGCGTAGAAGACAATCACGTTGTTTGTTCATTTGTACGGTCATCAACGACCGCTTCGATTGGGAAACCAATGCTGACTTTTTGTAAGAACCGTATAACAGGGAATTGTTTGTCTCACCGCTCCACAATGGATAGAGTTTATTCAGTCGGCTAATAACGGTTAACTTCTTCGTGCCTGAACCGGGGAGAACTTTGTGCTGGAGCATCGAAGGAGACGACCATATTGCAATAATCGGCTTTCGGCGGGCACGAATACAGATCATAAAGGTCACTGTGAGGATGGCCATTGTGATCAGTAGGATAAAGATGATGAGAATCAACGGTATGAAGCTTATTTCCGAGGCTATAACGGTGGGAAAAGATAGAGAAAGAGAACAATGAGTGAAACAAGAGTCTTTGAAAACAACAAACAGGCAAGTTGAGAGAAAACAATTAAGTGTAACATGGACATAGTGACTACCAAGGGCAAGCTAAAAGAAACAATCGTCATCATGATCATCAGTTATATGAATATGCGGTACAGAGGTAGGCGTGACGCGAAATAGACGAAACAATCTGATCCGCATGGTGGGCAGAGCTCTATATCAAACGGTGTTTCTTCGGGTTTGTCAAACNTTGTCAAACAGCACTACTAACATATGTACAAGTAGTCAGGGGATTGGTGAACCCATTTCACTATGGGATTCGGCATGTACGAATGCGTTGAACATTCGGGAAACAGGAAGATAGAGACTCGCTCAGATTCGTCGCCTTGTATGAGAATTTAACCCTAACGTTGTCTCGGTGGCTTATGCTTCTTTGGTTTGTAAAACTAGGATAAATAACTGTCTATAATCACTTTGGCAACATCTCTCCTTTGTGAAGGCAGTCCCGCATCTCACATCCGTGCACAATAGAGCCTACTGCAATTACCTGAACGGTACCAGTCACCCGATGGCACTTTTGTTCGATCCACATTCATCTAGGATAGTCTGAAATCCATATACGAAACAGTTCACTGGGGAGCGATCAAAAAGTATACAAGACACAGGGAAGGTTAGACGCGAAACGAGAGAATAGTTAGTTGGGGTACAGAAAAGGAACAAGCACCGGACCCCCTGTGATCGTCTAACCTTCATTCCTGCTTTGCATCTCATTGCCTAGTTTCGGTCGGAAATTCATAGCACTTCTAACGTTTAGAACAACGAAAGCTTGAAGGTAGTCTGCTGATACCCCCCCCCCCCCCGNACATAGAATAGATAATCCCTATCAATCAGTACGTGGGTGTGGTAAAACCGCTGTGGGCTCACTTCAGTCTCTGCCATCCAAAACTGATCAATAAATCAATATTCTGTAACAACAGCCATGGTGTGTATGTCGTTGAGTATCTGAGCCCTGCGATAAGCCTAGATCTGCGAGCTTTTTTCTCTCCGGTCGCGGGATATGAAATCGTGAGTTTGGTTGTTCAATCTTTCGCAGCTGTGACTGAAATCGTTGTGAAGACACGTAGCCGGAGCTAGTGTACTCATAGCTTAAAAGCTTCTGGAGAAGCGCGAGAAACCCTGCCATTCGTCCTGGTCTCAGGCTGTCAAACCAGTGACACGTCAGTAGTAGGGAAAAAAGAATAAACAGTTTTCACTCGGAAAACAATGTTTAAGGTTCAATTAGAAAGAATTCCGTTAGTTCCTCGAAGGGGATTCGTGCGCTTACGTGTATCCCGTGGACAAACATGAGCAAAACATTTCTTCGGTCACATGGATTTGGTGGGAATGTTAAACGACAGCAAAATATCACATGCAGAACAAGTGCACGGACCTGGCTTGTTGTCATTTGCATAGAATATTCTGGTCAAACAATTGTTTTTGAACGATATGCACACATCCCGCTGAAAATGAACCCAAAAGTCGGTGGGAACACCAGTTAAACGTTTTACCTTATTTCAGAGGACATATCGGTGAAAGGTTTAACTTCAAGTCATTTGGCAACCGCATCCGCTCGAAACCAATACAAACCAACCAACAATATCATGTGCACTACTCGCCCAAAAAGCCGCACGCTATGAAATGAAGCCTAAACTGATGGTTATTCATGGATGGGAGTCGTTCGAAGGGTCAGTGTTGTCGGTAAGCCGGAGACAACATACGATTACCA